CCCCCCCCCATTACAGTCCACACAAAAAAACTTAACATCGTAGTCAAGCTAAATATTTTTAGTAATTTTGATTAAAACTGTACAGTTGTATTTGAAAGCAAACTTTCATAAAAAAAGTTATTAGAGCAGGGAAATTATGATAATTTGTATCTACTTCTATGTTAAGTTTGATCGGTATAGGACCAAATTATTGTCAGAAATATTGTTTTAACAATAAACAAGAATACTTAATGTTACTAATTTATGAACAATACTTTCATATCCTAGAATTATATTAAGTTTATCAATAAATTTGTCTGCTATACCTACACATCTGAAACATAGACACAGCAAGCTGTTGAAAGCTGTTTTTAGCTTTTCAGTTGCAAAATTGCTGTAAACTTCTTTATTAATATACACATACACATATGCACATGTACTTTGGGATCATAGTTCTGTGCATGTACATCATTAAAATACCTCAAGGAACCAGAAACTGACTTCATGGCATCTATCATTTTCATGATAAAGTTTATCATACTAAATACTTATCCTCAATTTATACGTGTATCATACTAAATACTTAACATGTATCACCTAAGGATAACAAAGGGCTTGTTGGTCCATCAAAACTGCCCCATTCACTACACCAAACTAAATGTAAATAAATAAATAATTAAATAAAAAAAATGCCCTGAAAGTCAGCTCTTACAATTTATATATTTATTAGGCCTTTCTGTAAACTCCCTCAATTTATGTCACAAGTACTTTCAATTTAATTAAAGATTCTTGTACATGTAATACATTACAAAAATAAAATTCAGCGAGTGGGCTGATATTCTGAAATTCCATTGCAATAGGGAACTTTTAAAATTATTACCAGTGAGAGCGAAGGTGGAGTTTCAGATATTTTAACATTTGGGTGCCAGCAATAAATAAAACAAATTGTGACCCAGTTTTTAATTTTGCGTATATTATGCATTTTGCACACAAAATACTACTCACTGTTTTTTGGTGAAATTTAATGTTTACAATGCTTTGAAGGTAAACCAGTCATGCAGTCTTTTTTTGTGTGATGTAGAATTATATAAAGCCATAAGAAACTTTCAGTACCAACTGTCTCTACAGTGTCTTGGCAACCAAGAGCCTGCTTTCTGATATAATTTATTGAGTGGTGGTCAAACATTGAAAATATAAGTATACAGAATTATGTCAATTTGGGCTTCCTTTATGGTATTTTTTTTTATTGGCGACTCAAATGCTATACTAATATTTTCTGCAATGTTAAATTATATTGCATATCTCACCGTATATGTGAAAAAGCATACCATTTTTATGAAAAATTCCCAGAGAGATCAAACAAGATGACTACATTAATTCTGAGCTGGTTAAGAAAAAATTGGGAACTTTAGAAAACGATAAGGCTCCTGGGCCAGATAATATTTCC